GATGATAAGTCCATTAAGCACCAACTTGGGCGAATTTATTTTCGGAGGGCCTTTCCATAATTTTGTTGGCGACGAAAGGCCATTTTCTTTGGATTTTGAAGGATACAGATCACGGATTCGGCCTGAGGCTATTCTTCAACGATGATTAAGTCAATTAAGCACCGATTTGTGCGGATTTATTCCGGGTAATTTTTTGGCAGATTCCAAAAGGGTACCATCATAGATTTCGGGCCATTTATCCGAACTGCCATTTTCTTTCGATTCTGGAGGTTGTAGATCACGGAATCAGGCCGAGGCTATTCTCCACCTATAGTGAAGTCTATTAATCCGATTCTCCACCGATGATAAGTGCATTAAGCACCGCTTTGGGATTTTTGAATGCTACAAATCACGGATTCGACTTGAGACTATTCTTCAACGATGATTAAGTCCATTAAGCACCGATTTGGGCAGATTTAATCTTGATCAAAGTTTGGCAGATGCAAAAGGGGTACCATCACAGATTTTAAGAGATTTTTCCGAAATGTCATTTTCTTTTGATTCTGGAGTTTGCAGGTCACGGAATCAGGCCGAAGTTATTCTCCACCGATAATGAAGTCTATTGATCTTATTCTCCACGGATGATAAGTCCATTAAGCATCGATTTGGGCCAATTTATTTTCGAATGCCATTTTCGTAATTTTTGGGCGACGAAAGGCCTTTTTTGTTGGATTTTGAAGGATACAGATCACGGATTCGGGCTGGGGCCATTCTTCGATGATGATTAAGTGAATTAAGCACCGATTTGGGCTGATTTGTTCCGGGTCAATTTTTGGCAGATTCCAAAGGGGTACCATCACTAATTTCGGGCGATTTTTCCGAAATGTCATTTTCTTTCCATTCTGGAGGCTACAGATCATGGAATAAGGCCGAGGCTATTCTCCACCAATAATGAAGTCTATTGATCCTATTCTCCAAGGACGATAAGTCCATTTAGCACCGATTTGGGACCAATTTATTTTCGGATGACATTTTTCGTATTTTTTTGGACGATGAAAGGCCATTTTCATTGGATTTTGAAAGCTACAGATCACGAATTTGGCCTGAGGCTATTCTTCAACGATGATTAAGTCCATTAAGCACCGATTTGGGTGGATATATTCCGGGTCAATTTTTGGCTGATTCCACAAGGGTAATATCACAGATTTCAGGCGATTTTTCTGAAATGCCATTTTCTTTCGGTTCTGGAGGCTACAGATCACGGAATCAGGCCGAGGTTATTCTCCACCGATAATGAAGTCGATTGATCCTGTTGTCCACATATGATAAGTCCATTAAGCACCGATTTGGGCCAATTTATTTTCGCATGACATTTTCGTAATGTTTTGGGCGACAAAAGGCCATTTTCTTTGGATTTGGAAGGCTACAAATCACGGATTCTGCCTAAGGCTATTCTTCAACGATGATTAATTCCATTAAGCACCGATTTGGCCGGATTTATTCCGGGTCAATTTTTAGCAGATTCCAAAGGGGTACCATCACCAAAATCTTAACGATTTTTCCGAAACGCCATTTTCTTTCTTTTCTGGAGGCTGCAGATCACAGAATCAGGCCGAGGCTATTCTCCGCCAATAATGAAGTATTTTGATCCTATTCTCCACCGATGATTAGTCGATTAAGCACCTATGTGGGCCCATTTATCTTAGGATGACATTTTCATAATTTTTTGGGCGACAAAAGGCCATTTTCTTTGGATTTGAAGGCTACAGATCACGGACTTGGCCTGGGGCTATTCTTCAACGATGATTAAGTCCATTAAGCACCGATTTGGGAGGATTTATTCTAGGTCAATTTTTGGCAGATTCCTAAGGGGTACCATCATAGATTTCGGGTGATTTTTCCGAAATGACATTTTCTATAGATTTTGGAGGTTGCAGATCATGGAATCATGCCCAAGCAATTCTCCACCAATAATGAAGTCTATTGATCCTATTCTCCACGAAAGATAAGTCCTTTAAGCACTGTATGTATAAAATGATGTCTCATAATACTCAACCAAATGTATAAAATTCCAATCACTAATTACCACCAACCAAACCTAACTTAATGAGTAATTACAATGCAATATATAACCCATAATTGTAAAGCAAGTATCAATTAAAAAGGTAGCAAACATGCTAAGTCAAACTTATAGGTCAAGTTGTCCTAGTTTTGTAACCTACACAACCAAAATATATAATTATAGTTCAACATACATCGGAAACCAACAATCCAAAAAAAATGATAGGTGGAGGAGTTGTAATATTTCTCCTTATAGTTATATTATCCATCATCAACGGAGTTACAGAGGATCGAGCTTCCCATCGCATCATGCAGCTGAGTTCCTTCTTAGATATTCTAATACCACCTTATACTTTGACTTAGTTGGTGGTGAACATAGAGTAATTTTTGAATACTTATTGAAAAATGAGAAACTTTACGATTTATAGTTGATTGAATGGCAGTGGATAACGACAACGGCTTGAATTCTTTTTAATATGAGCATATGCGGAACCTAATGGTCTAGGTTGTTTACATGAGTCACACTCACACCAATAATGAAGTAGAATAAAAAAAGTGGTGGTTAACAAAATTTTAATGAATTTGCGAATGACTTTCGGCTTGATCGAAGTCAAAATACATATACTTGTGGGTTGTGCTTTTCATAGAAATGAGGTTGAAAAAGAAAATTAAATTTCACGAATGATAGTGGATTGAGATATAATAAAAGGAAATCAAATTTCTCTTCAAAATTTTAGGGAAACAAAAAGCAATCCTTGTGAATTTTGGCAATGACAACTTGACTGTGTAATTCCAAACTTATGCATAATTACTTTTTCATCAAATTTTAACGAACTATATCTCATTTATTTTTACTTGAATTTCAAATTAACTATGGTTAAAAAATATAATTCACTTTCATATATATCAAAATAAAACACATTAATTGTAATGTTATGTAATATATATTATAAAAATATAGGAATTTGCTACGGTGACATGCATGTCACCGTAACTTGCACTTTTAGGTCGACCTCATATAGGATTAGGCCGACCTAATCTGTCGTTTCAGTCTTGTGCTAGAAGGCAGCTTACTTCGTAGCAACTTTGAGCCTTTTGTTTGAATCCTTCAAGATATCCAATATTTCATCCAATGCCTTGACTTTGTAGACAAACATACCTACTTTCATGTGGTAGAGGCCCATGGACTCGAATCTTATCCATGCTTCTCGAATTGAGCTCCAAAGTAGGCTTCACAAACACTTTCCCAGACTTGGCCATTTTCAGACAGTTTCCCAGTTTTGGCATAGCCTTTTGATCAGGTTCAAAAATGGTCTTCTGGACTTCCTATCGAGCTCTCAAGCAATTCAATGTGCAGAGGGAAACTCCAGCTTCAAAACAAGACATTAATCTCCAATTTCCATCGAGCCAATTATAAGATATGAATCTCCAAAGTAGGCACCATGAAACTGTTTTTACACTGAAACAACATATTAGGTCGACCTAATCCTAACTGAGGTCGACCGAAAAGTGCAAGTTACGATGACATGCATGTCACCATAAGCACACAAAAAAATATATCGTGGTACTAAATTGAATTCAAACCAATAGAATTCATAACTGAAACATAAGAGATTAAGAAAAGGTCATTTCAGTCTCAACCTTTAAATTGATCCAAGAGTTTGATATTTAATTATAAATTGTGCATAATTTTGGGATTATGCATCGTTCAAGATTGTCCATCTTTACACCCAAAGAAAGAAATTATGTGGAAAGATAAATAGGAAAAAAGAAAGGAATTGGAATTTTATTAGTGAAAATTAAAATTTTAATTTTAATAAATTTTCATGGAGTTTCTCAAATTTGTATGGCTATAAAAATTGAATTAAATATATATTTTGGAGCGGAAAATATTTTTATAAAGCTAGAATGAAAAATATACCATGATGGTACAATAAATATATCAATCTGGAAAATATCCATGAGCACCACAATGTTTCAAAATATATATGATTTCATAGATTAAAATTAATTTATTTTGAATTTCGAGTTAGAACGAAGAATACCAAACATTCTCGATATTGGTTATAAATTTTGCATAACTTTGAGGTTACGTATTTCAATTCAAAAGTATGTAGAGAAGGACTATGTAAAAAATCAAAATTGTATTGGAGAAAAGTAACTGCAACATGTTTACCAAGTATGTAAAAAAAAGTGATTGAAATTGCATTAAAGAAAAATTAAAGGTAGCAAATAATTATGTGGCAAAATGTTTCCCCCACAGCACCCATAATACAAGTTAAGATTAAGATTAACAGTCAAGAGTTTTTATGTGTAGGTTGGCCTCAGATTGTTACCCAATGTTGCTGCTATTTATTTGTTTATAATAAATCTAATTCACCGGGAGAGAAACATACAAACCAAGAAATGAACTTTTCTCATTGCAATGCACGTGCAGCCGACCTTATCTCAGTTGGTAGAGCGGAGGACTGTAGTGGTTAGATCTGCCAGTTAATCCTTAGGTCACTGGTTCGAATCCGGTAGGTCGGATTTTTTTTTTAAGTTTCATTTTTTAAAAAACCTGACACAGCAGTGGGCTAACAACAAGGCAGAGGTCCATTAAGAGACGGCCCATGACCATAAACAACGTTATTCTGTCGCCGATTGGGCTACCGAGGTCGGCTCAATGAAGGGGAGGCCCATAGACACAGGTAGAGGCACCAACTACGTTATTGCTGATTCGGACAAACTTCATTTCGCCGATCCATCACGTAAAAATGTTTCCGGCAGTGAAAATGCTTCAAATTTACACATACGCTTGCTTTTTCCCCAAATGGAGGCCTTGACATGGTAATGCTTGGGACTGGATTATAACCCGAGCTCCTGAAGCAAGCCTGTTTTCATTAATTGGTATGTCAGAGGAAGATAAATATCTATCAGCTTGAATGCGAATACGTTTGAAGATGGTTTGAAATCAATACTCAACTTTCTTCGATCTGGATCACGTCGTCGTTGTTGTTGTTCTCTTCTTCCCTAAAAGATTCCAGCTTGTGGGGCTGTTTTCTGCTGGAGTCGTGCTCCATGACGATTCTTTTACTGCGACCGTGAGGGGTGTCGAGGGCTACTGAGCCGTCAGCTGAGTTTCGAGGCTTGTCGGAAGTAGGGGAACGCATTGAGCTAGATCGAGGGTGCTTGCTCGAGGAGGCATTCATTGCTAAAGGAATGCACTTAGAACCTACTCCGGAGGTTAATTCTTCTCCATCCTCGCTCGGATCCAGTTGCTTAGAGGTCCTGCAAAAAGATTGCATTTTTCTTAATCAAGGGCGACTCACACGAGATACAGAATAACTCTAGGGTATAAATGGTAGCTTTGCTTGCAGCCAAAGGAACAACTTTTAAGGCCTGTCAAAGAATAATTCCACTTACCATCAATCAAATGAATTGATGTCTGATGAAGTGGTCAAGAGATGTGCATTACGTTAAACGAAGTTAATAAACAATGCTTTGATCCATAACATAGAGGGCTAGCTTTACCTGTCTGCATTGTATGAGGAAGAGCGTTTCAGGGGCGGAAGAGTGCCTTCCTCCTTGGGCAATTTTGTCTCAATCAAGCTCCCGCTGAAGTACTCTTTATCTTCCAGTCTTAAGCTCATTAGCCTAGGGTTCTCCGAGAGGCAATCGAGCTCCCCAAACATGATTGACCTAGAAAACAATGGAGAGGCATATTTCGAATGGGAAAATTTCGGCTTGTAAGTTGGGATGAGTCCAAAGCTGTGATCTTTCACTGAGATAGATCCACAGGAGATCAACTGCATTAATACATTTGTGGCCTTTAATCTCGGATTGGTTGACATCCGAACATCCTCCCCTTCCAGTATCCTAAAGCTGTTGATCTTATCACCATCAGCTCTAATCAAGGACTCCAACGTTCCACTGGATGAAGATGCGCCGCTGGAAGTAGTAGATGGTGGTGGAGAAGAAACCGAATTCTCGCCAGTCTCAGAGTAATCCTTCTTCAAACGAGGAACCCACCTCTGAGAATCAACATTGCATTCACGTTCTAATGAACAATCGCCAGTGGAAACGCCTCGAGTGCAAGTCTCTCTGGATTTAGGCCGGCTAACATTATTCTCCTCTGTCTGAGTCGAAGCATGTGCAACCCCTTCGCTTCTGTAGACCTTGTATTCTGTCAACCCAAGGGAACCACTCCAAGTAGAATTATTTCCATCTCTGGACTCTGGAGATATGCTAGACGAACCAGCACGACGTTGCCCTGGAGGGGAAAGCTCATCCTCCTGAGAGAGCTTTGTTTCCTTCCCATACATGCTCGATGAAGATGATGAATAATCGTGACTTCTGGAAGAAGATGGTTCTGGCAATTGTTTCTGATTATTCTGAATCTTCATCGCTCCAACAATGGCAGAACGATCTGGACAACAATATCGAATCTCTTAAGCCCACAAGCTTCTAAAACGAGAGTTAAACAAGTCTTAACATGAAAACACCAACAGGCTAACCTGGATTGGAATCTTCAAATAGTTCAGAACCTTTGAGAACGTACTCATTTCCATGTGCAGGAACAATCAGGTCGTCCTCAGAAAGGTCATGCCAAACAAATCCACTTTTGTAGCTTCTGCAACAGAATAAGGAACCAATCATAGACTCTAATCTCTTTTCATGCCAATAGACTTCCTAGTTTCCCGTAACCAAACAGTCCAAGAATAAAGAAAAATTTGAGCCGAAGGAGAAAGATCTAACTAGGACAATTTAGTCACCTCTTGCTGGACCACGAGTACATGGAAGCCATTCCTCTCCCTCTCAGCACGTTAAGCTTCTCAATCACATCTGCTCAAACACAAAAATCTCATCAATTTTCAAAGCAAATGGAGAGAGAAGACAACACGAAACCGGAAATGAGAGATGTAGACGCAGACCTCTGAGGTAGAGACCGTCGGGCGATGAGAGAGGGACTTCAATGAAATGAGGATGCTCGAGCTGGCGGTTCCGGCAGAGATAATAAACCACGGGGACCTTGCGATGCTGGTGGTACTTAGGCGACCTTTCCGTCCACACTTTGGCTCGCTCCGGACTCAATTCCCGGTGCTTCTTCATTCTCGCCTGCATTTCCACCACATCCAAACCCTAACCGTCCCCTACAATCGCAATTGCACGCCACCACTTTACCAACTCTCCCCCCTAGACCTCTCTACTCGCTGAAAGTAGAACCAGCACCGAATCAGAATCCGCCATTCCGACTCCGACAAGACAATTCAATTCAAGCAAGTTCGGCGAACCTAGCAGCACAACGACAAGGCAATTCAAATCTCGAAAGAGCCAGAGCACGATAATATGGAAATTACTGGCAGATCGTTGCTGCAGTTAAAATGCAACCGAGCAATTCAATTCAACCGAAGAATGTCAGAAGCTCACGGAACGAATGCGGATAAGGCCGCCATTAATGCCGCTCCATGGCGCGCGGGAGAGAGAGAGAGAGAGAGCTAAGTGGACACTCACTAATTATTGCGAGGTACCAAACGATATCGCTGTGAGACGGAGACGACGATTACTGAAGCAGTAACTAACTGCAGCGATGGCGACAGGAGAAAGGAAAAGGACGAGAGAGGAAGCAGGCACTGTCTCTTGGTTTCGGTCGTCGTCGTCTATCTTTCTGGTACCGCTTTTGAGATTTCTTTTGGCAGGATTTGGAGCTTGGAGAGCGGGACCAGCAGCTATGGCGGAGGGACAATAGCGAGAAAGTGAGGACTGCCGGAGGAGAGAAAAAGTGGGAAGAGAGTGTGCTTCGAGGAGCGATTTGATTTGTTTGCTTTGGAACTTTCCTTTTTTTCCTCTTTGACTAGCTTTTGGATTTCCCCACTAATCTTCCAACCAGCTTTCGCTCTCGAGTCTCGTGGAAGCAGCGAATGATATGGACTATTTTCCTTTTTTCAATACTGTATCATTTGGGCTGGTCAACAATAGTGGGTTTAGCCTACGATAAATTTAAGCCCAAAGCGAGCTGGTAAATTTGGGCTTTTCCTTGACTGGACAATAGCTCAGTAAAAATTAGGCCGAGCACAGAACTCGGGCCCATCTGACCCAATCATTGCCGCCATTCCCTTAGGCCCGAGCAGTGAGTTACATGAAAAAAGCGGTGAAATGGCGATGGTCGTTGACGAACTGCCGCCCAACTCCCGCCAAAAGTTGCGACTCGCTCTCCCAAAGCTTCCACTCCACTCTTCTTGCTTTTGGTCTTCGTCGCCTCGGGATAAATCCGGCGACCGGCAGCCATTGAATTCTTTTAACCCAGTGAATGCTAACTCTCCGTCCATGCTTCGTTTCATTTCTCTCAGTACCCGTTTCCCACTCCTGCCGCCGACCAGTCCCCCTTCTTCGCTCCTTCCATTTCTTCTCTAAACCTCACTCCCTCCTCCCAAAACCCTCTTCCCCTCTCTTCCTCAATCCTACTTCCCAGATGTCGAATCGCCCAAACGCATTCGACATTCTCAAGTCCAACGCCAAATCCGTCTACAAGAACAAGCCCCAAGCCGATTCACCCAAGAAGCGGAAAACCCCCGAATCCGAAAACCCTAAACCTGCCGCCGCTTCTCCCGATTCAGCGCCCGACGGGAAGGTTCCCGACCCTGAACCACCAATTCATGGCGGAGATTCTTCGGCTGACCAGAAATTGGAGCTGCCCAAGACGGACGGTACCCAGAAGTCGTTTTTCATGCCTTGTAGTAGTTCGAAGAAAGCCCGCGCCGACGATAGGGTCGAGGAATTGAAGAGCAAGGTTGGGGATTTGAAGAAGAAAGCCAAGGAGTTTAAGCCGGAGAAAGTGGCGTGTTGGGAGAAGGGAGAGAGAATTCCGTTCATCTTCGTTTCGTTAGCGTTTGATATGATTGCTAACGAGAGTGGGAGGATTGTGATTACGGATATCGTGTGCAATATGCTGCGGACAGTTATAGATACTACTCCCGAAGATCTGCTGCCGGTGGTATACCTCTTGGCAAACAAGATTGCGCCTGCTCATGAGGGGATTGAGCTTGGGATTGGGGAAGCAATCTTGATCAGAGCACTGGCGGAGGCTTACTCGAAGATGGAGAGGGATGTTAAGAAGATGTACCAGGTTGGCTGCTTTTCTTGGTTCTTGCTCCTTGGCTTAATCTTGCACAACATGCAATAATTTGGTCAAATGGATGCAACATGCAGGAGATGGGAGATTTGGGGCTTGTTGCTAAAGCTAGCCGCAGGACTCAACGGACGATGTCCAAGCCTGAATCTTTAACAGTCTCCAAAGTGTTTGACACGTTTCGATTGATTGCTAAGGTTCTCAGTCTATGCACCTTCTTAAGCTGGAATTTTGTTTAGATTTTATCTCACTGCAAAATACTAGGACATCAAGTTGTCCCCTTCACTATGTGATTGAGTTTGTTGCATGTTCTTATGATTGTTGATAGCAATCTGGAAAGGATAGTCAAGACAGCAAGAGGAAACATATCAAGGGACTTCTTGTGGCTGCCGTTGACTGCGAGCCTCAGTATATTATGCGTTTGCTTCAGGTGAGGTAGTTGAACGTTTTTTGCGATCTGCTGACTATTTCTCATACTCTTCTAACCTTTCTGATGATTGGTTTCACAGTCGAAGCTGCGAATTGGTTTTTCAGAGCAGACTCTTTTGGCTGCTTTAGGCCAGGCTGCTGTGTATATTGAGAAGCATTCTAAACCACCTTCAAATGTTCAGTCACCTTTGGAAGAGGTCAGTAGATGCACTCCATCTATCATCTATATACTGTATATCCTACTGTATTAGGGATCTTAAACCATTCTGTGTCATAGTTGGTCGTCCAGTATGCTCTCATCTGCACCACCTTGCTTCTCAAATGTTAATTTACTGTAAACTATAAAACTAATACTTGACCAGGCCGTTTTTTTTTTTTTTTTTTTTTGGAAATTGTAAGGTTGCCTATCATTTGAATGATTTCCTTTTCTTGTGGCTCAAATAATAGTGTATCAGTGACACAGGAGTAGTGTTCTCAAACTAGTACCCCACCCCATCCCAAACAGTCCAGAGGTTCCTTCAGAATTTGATCCTGAATTAGTACTTTGTCATTTACTGTCTACCTGATTCTGCCAAGTGTAAACACTACAGCAAGTCTGGGAGCAGGGGTAATAATGGATAATTGAGTGCACTCACTTGATCAGAGAATGTTTAGTTGAAATGTTCATCTGATCTTGTTTATTTTAATATCCTGTTTCAGGCTGTGCGCATTGTTAAGGGAGTCTACTCAGTCCTTCCTGTATATGATATAATTGTCCCTGCTCTTCTCAGTAATGGTGTATGGAATCTTTCCAAGACATGTAACCTTGTGCCTGGTGTTCCTGTTGCACCGATGCTTGCTAAATCAACCAAGGCTGTTTCCGAGATAGTAAATAAATTCCAGGATATAGAATTCACGTGTGAATACAAGTATGATGGAGAGCGTGCTCAGGTGATCCTAAGTTAGCGAAGCATTTTTGTACGCAATGCTTGCTTTTACTTGTATTTGTTTTCTGACTTGTCTTTCTTATTTAGATTCACTATATGGAGGATGGTACAGTTGAGATATATAGCCGGAATGCTGAGCGAAACACTGGAAAATTTCCTGATGTTGTGGCTACAATTTCAAGGTAAGCTTGATTCTTATGATGGACCTTATATGTCATATGTCGATTGGCTAGAAAATTGTGCTTTGCTTTTAATACAACCCCTTGGCATAGACTATCTGTAGAATTTAGCTAAGTGCAATGCTCTAGATCTTTGTTGGAATTCTTTCCATAGTTGCCTCTTGAGGAACAAGCGGTGGCATGCTTTTTTTGGTAGCCATAAACATCTTTGGGCTCTCTGTTATCTTCTAATCTTTGACCTCTTCATCTGAGATCAGATCTTGGATACATTCTTGTCTATGTTTCTGCATGGATATAGAACTGTGAAAACGTAAATATGATTGGTAATGTAACTTTGGTTCTGCTACTGAGAGATCACTGGTATGCATATGAGAGATATCAATATTCTTGCATGTCCGAAAACTGGGATACATTGTTCTAGTATTTGCTTCTTGGTAATTTACACGTTCATTGTGGGTGCTAAATGCTAGTAGACTTTTTGCATTAATGCCTTTTCCTATCCAGGTTGAAGAAGTCTTCTGTGAAATCATTCATTCTGGATGGTGAACTGGTTGCCTATGACCGAGAAAAAAATAAAATCCTTCCCTTTCAGGTTCGATATTTGAGATAAAACCTGTTTACAATGTATGCCCTTTTATTTCTCTCTTTCTGAAGTTTCTGAAGAAACTTCAATGAGTTAACCGGGATGGTGTATTCTGAATGTTCGCGATGTTATTTCTTTCTTCCAGATACTTAGTACACGAGCCCGCAAAAATGTGGTCATGAGTGAGATAAAGGTTGATGTGTGCATATTTGCTTTTGACATGCTGTTTCTTAATGGCGAACCACTTATTCAAGAACAGTTGGAAGTTCGTCGAAAGGTACTTTGCTTGTGTTTTCTTCTTTCATGTTGCTTGAGAATCCTCTTGGAGTTTCTATTTATTGCGTAAAAATGTGAAATTGCTACTCTTTCTCTGCTTTTGGCCTTTTTGGGTGATGGCGGATCTTGTTTCTGGAATCGTGTATGCATCCCTGTATGGTTTAATTCTAACTGACAATTTTCTAGCTTGGGATATAAGCTCTGTTTATGACATTGGTGGTGGCTTTGACTGTATGCAGCGGCTGTATGATTCATTTGAGGTTGAACCTGGATTCTTTCAGTATGCAACAGCAATAACTTCTAACGACCTCGAGGAAATACAGAAGTTTCTGAATGCAGCTGTTGACTCTAGGTCATTTCTAATACTCTTTAAGTTTGTGGATCATGAGTGTGTATGTACTGGTTTGACTCTGCGTGTGTGAGTAACTGTTCCTTTTTCATCAATACCTCAAAGGTTTATGGTGCCTGAATCAATTCTATTCAACCTGTGCACTGATTTCATTTCTCTGAAACTTAAGTCCCCCCCAAACACACCAAAAAAAAAAAGCCATTGTCGTGGCCTTTACACTTGAAGGAGTTGGTTTTGCGATGCATAGTCATATCTGCTGTTAACTTCGCTTAGTGTGTCTTTTTTTGCCTTGCAGTTCTGAGGGTTTGATCATCAAAACGCTGAATAAAGATGCTACATATGAACCTTCAAAACGATCACGCAATTGGCTAAAATTAAAGAAAGATTACATGGAAAGGTATGATTACACCCCTCAAATGGAGATTGTCTTGGATTTGTATTCATTGACTCTGACTGAGATTAGCTATACAGCCTTGGGGACTCATTTGATCTGGTTCCTATTGGTGCTTTCCATGGTACCGGGAAGCGTACAGGTAATGTGACTGTTGGCTAGAATTGTATTTTCATTATCATATATATGTTCCTATTGCCTTCATGCTGGTAATGCTGCTCATTCCTCAGGCTTCTATGGTGCATTTCTTCTTGCTTGTTATGACACTGACAGAGAGGAATATCAAAGTATTTGTAAATTGGGTGAGACAACACTTTCTTGTCACTCTGCTTAATTGCTGTTAGGTGCCTTTTACTATAGGTTATTGATGGGTATTTCATTATTTAGACATGGTGTGATTCTTAACATTTAAGCAGCGTTTTCTGCTTATGCTGAAGCTGTTGTTATTGCTGTCGTGTGGCAGGTACGGGATTCAGTGAAGCACTGCTTGAAGAACATTCTACTAGACTACGCACGAAAGTGATTTCCGAACCAAAGGTCTGCTGCTTGTGCCATTCTAGCAGTTGAGAATGTGGTTAGTATTTAGTACTTTCCCATTGTCCAATTCTGACTGTAATGTTCATTTCAGACGTACTACAGGTTTGGAGAGAAGCTGAATCCAGATGTGTGGTTTGAGCCATCTGAGGTAATAACAATTGTTACTTATTTATTTGTAAGAAGTAATTTGGATATTATTTCCTGTTTGTTTGGGTAAACTACAAAATGCGGTCAGCAAGTGGAACCTAGTAGTAACTTTTGTTCTCTTTTTTCCTCATTCTCTTGGCAAATGAGCAGGTATGGGAGGTGAAAGCTGCAGACTTGACAATCAGCCCTGTCCATTGTGCAGCGATTGGTGCAGTGGATCCTAACAAGGTCTCACATCCGTGATCATTTTCAGATTATGCTTCAGATTTTGCTCGAGTTAGAAACTGGTTTTACCCAAGTGAACTGGAACCCTTCAGCTACAGTGACTAGGACCATATGAAAAATTGGTCAGTTTTGTTATCTCTCAGATGAGGTTCTCTCTTCTAACAGTAGTCTGTGTTCTTGGCTCAGGGTATTTCTCTGCGGTTCCCTCGTATGTTACGTGTCAGAACAGACAAGCTTCCAGAGGAAGCTTCATCAGCCGAGCAGGTGAAATTCTGTTGCATTGATGACTCGGATAAATGAAAATGGGGATTACCAAGAAAGGGAAGAAAGGAGGGAGGAGGGTGTTCTTGCTAGCTAGCTGGATGTCTCTTTTTTATGTCTTGGTCACATGTTATTGATTGTGCTTATTTACTAGGTGGCGGAGATGTATAATGCTCAGAAGCACAATCAGCCGAACCCTGAGGCAGATGATGAAGATGATTAAGCATCAGATCTTTCAGCTTTGCATTTATATCACCTTCAAAGTGCAAGTGCCTACGACTGTTGCTATGTTGCAGCATAGATCCTACAGTGCATTTGACCCTCTTCCAAGAAACCAGATGGCAAAGTCATGTCTGCTGCGCTGTAAAGATTGTGGTTGCAGTAAGTTGAAACTGAGCACCTTGACAGCTTAAACCCCAAGAAAATTTGTTGTAAGCAAAGAAAATTTTGGTGTTTGAAACTCATAGTTGCATACTTGTAATGCTAGTGAACTGGGTCTGCTACAGCTCTAAGGTTAGGACAAAGAAGCACTGTCTGAATCTGCCGTAGAATTAACTGGATTTTGGAGAATGAATCTAATCAAACGAACGGCGCAGATTATATTTGGTGTACAGTTCTATCTTGCAACCTGTTGTCCCAGTTTATTTGATATACAGTTAGGCTTTGTATGTTGATGAATGGTACAGGTCTCTTGACTGGAAGTTTCTTTTATGTTCTGGAGTTGCCATATTTGGCGGGAGAAGTCAAAGCACAAGTCTCTGGACTCTGAAGCATCTGATATGATGAACGGGATTTCCGCTTAGGGTCCCCCAAACGGCTAAATAGGTAAGGAAGTAGAAAGGTTTGTTTCTTTGTCTGGGCAAATGGGAGGAGCCAGAAGTAAGACAGTAATTTGCTGTCAGCGTTTCAGGGACTTTTGGTCCAAGTCTGTAATCTTCTGCCGTGTTGACCAAGGAAACATGTCATGAAATGGCGGCCTTTTAGGGTGTCCCAGGCTCCCAGCAGCAGCTGACAGCCAACTTCCAGTAGCAGATATTGGGGTTTGCCCGCAGCTTCACGTTCTATCAGGTCTTCTCGAGTTCCCCTCCTTTCCCCGCCACATGCTTCTCTTGCTCTAGTTTTGCTAGCATGATGAACAGAGTGGCGCCAACATAAACTGATAAAGTTGGATTGTGTGGTCAGCGATCTCAGCCACAGCATTAATGATATTTACAAAAGTGTTAGATTACGTGATCATTCGAGACGATGGGTTTGTGGGCATACTCCTATCATGTTCTTCATATTAACCAAATTGCACTTGCTCAGGCTAGTGGCAATAATGTGAACTTTCTGAGTTGCTGATCATATATTTGGCCGCCGGATAAAACAGAGCCGTTTCTGTGCATATTTGACTTTAGCATTGGGCAGTGTGAACTAACTTCCGGCATAGGCTAGGTTTAGACTGTAGCGCAGGTGTTCTATAAAACACAAAGTAGCAGTGCTGCAGTGGGATGGGAGATGGAGATTTTGGGTCAAAATGAGTGGCAGTGGGGGCAGCAGGAAAAGAAGCTTTACCCTCCTGGGGAGCAATAAAACAAAAGCAACAAACAATCATAGTTTAGGATCCCCCAAAACATAATTCTCCCTTTTCCTTTGTAAATTACCATAAGAACAGCACAAGTATGTCTACTCAAATATTGAATTAGTGATCACTAATCTCCATTATCACACTAACCATTCATCATCACCACCACCAGCACCGCCATGAACAGTGACAGTAGCAGCTGCAGAAGAAGATGAAAGAAGAAAAAGAGCAGTAGATCCTGAAATGGGATTTGTGGGGATCCACTCTCTCTACCTAAAAGGAAAAAGTCTACGTGACCTCTCTCTTTCTCTCTTTACTGGTTAGTTGGCCTTCTTCTCAACCTTTACTTCTCATTCCAACTTTACCACCACCAACTTCTCAACCACATCCACCATTCCCACCTTGGATTCTCAGATCAACAGAAAAGAAAGAAGCAAACAAACAGGAACTCAAGAACAATCAAAAACAATACTTGCTACATTGTAATCAATCACCCTTTGCTGCTCTTAGCCTTCCACAAAGGTGTCTTTGTCACATCTCAAACTCCTTAGCAATATTTCAAGGAGGAGAAGATTTGTATGTCAAAACCTCCTCCATAACTAAAAATTTCCCCTGCCCTGCAATGGGGGGAAGTTAAAAAAGACCCAAAAACTCAAGCTGTCTTCTCCAACACTACTATTACGACTACTTTGGAAGGAAGGAAGATGGACAGAACAAACCCTCTCTATGTACTAAAATGGCTGCTTGCTCCTTTGCCATACTATATCAGTCCTCAGAATTAAGTCCCCTCTAAGGCTTTAGTGGTAAGAATTGGGAGTAAAGTAAGAGTCTTTGGTTTTGTGAGACCTTGGATCTAAAAGGAAGGAAGAAAGAAGAAACTAGTATATAGCTTTTTTTCTGGTGTGATGTGATGTTAATGGAGAACTACTCGGTGGAACTTAGTTTCTGTTGGGGACTCACAGAATCCACCATCGGGAACAACCCTCTTCCTGCTGCAGAACCCGCTTCCGATGCCGAGTAAAGAGTAGTCCTGTGGCAGAGTAGTCGCCGGGAAAGGCGCCGGCGGCGAAGGGATAGTCACCGGCGGTATCTCAAACGACTCCACCGCCGGCGGCGGGTGCCTCCATTGAGGAAGCGGCCCTGCTAGAAGCAGAGTCTGTAACAGCGGCCCTGCTTTCATCACCGCCTGCAAAAGCTTCCCCTTTTCCGGCAACGGCTTCTCCGGCTCCGGCAGCAAAACCTCCCCTGCTTCCTCCGCCCCCGGCGGCGGAGGCGGAATTGGGTCGAGTACAGGGGAGGAAACGATGCTCTCTTCACAATCCGAAGACGAGAACCCATTGTTGTTGGAGTCGATTCCTCTTCTGGGTTCGTCTTCAATGCAGGAAATTCCCGACAAAGGAGGAGTATTTTGGTGTTGATGGAGCAAGAGGTTCTCGAGCAGAACCCTCTGGTATTTCTCCTGGGCGTCGTCTCTTTCGCGAATTGCTTTCCCCATGAACTCCTTGAGCTGAATCAGCTGGTCGTCTCGCTTCTTGAGCTCCTCCTGGGCTGCAATACGGGTTTGCTCGAGCTCCAGGGTCGTGTAGAGAAGTGAGTGCTTCAGTTCTTCCATGCTCTGCAAAATGTTAGAAATGGAAATTCCTCTGTTTTAGAAACTCAGGGGAAGGAGAAAGGAAAGGAAGGAGAGGGAAAAGGGGGAATGTTGTATGTTACCTTTCCATGGCAGAAGTAAGCCCAGGTGAGAAGAGAGTTTCTGTGGCTGTCCATGGTTGTTGGTTCTGCTGCTTCTTCAGGGCACTGTGAGTGAAGTAACGACTGAAGTGAAGCAGCGAGGAGGAGGGAAGGAAGAATTGTTGTTTATAGAGAGGGGTGGAAAAGGCAGGGGACAGGGAAAGATAAGCAAGTTTTTTTTTTTCTTTTTAATTTTCGGGTAGAGGGTTTTTGCTTTTTTCAGTTGGGTTTTCGTTGGGTCTTATAGGGCGAGAAGAAGGCTTGTTGCCGCGTTTTTTCGTTGTTAAACCAGTTTAAATCGATATGTCGGGTTTGTAAGTGATATGGTTCAATAAGGTATAATTGATTTGCATTGAATTATATAAATTTTAGCGGAATATATGTGGAGGAACTGCCGAAACATTAACATAAAATGAATCACTTATATATAGCATATCTCCATACAATCCATATTAATTTTTTTTATAAGGATGATATAGGTTTCCTTTTTGTAATTAAAGTACTACTTAAGAGATTCGAACATTAACATAAAATGAATCACTTATATATATAGCATATCTCCGTACAATCCATATTAATTTTTTTTATAAGGATGATGTAGGTTTCCTTTTTGTAATTAAAATACTACTTAAGAGATTCGAACCTAGGACCTCCAGATTGTAGGCTAGTGGTATTACCACTGGATCAAGTCCTTGTTCATTACAATCCATATTAATTTTTAAACAAAATACAACATTACGCCAAATCTTCATACTTAAATACAACATTTAACGTCAACATCCAAAAGCTTATACATAAATCCAACAAATAGCATCAACATCTAAAGGTTCATATTTGAATCCAACAAACTCCTTCTTTGTTAATTGATTCCACCAAATGACACCATTTGTTTAGGGATCGAATATCGGTCATTCAGATTGGACCACTAATTTTCCTGACTTTGATCGGTTGTTAGTGAATTTAACCGATTTTGATTTACCGCTAATTTGGAGTTTTCCCACCAGTTTTGTATCTGATACTGGTTGAATATGATTATACCTATCAATATGCCAATTCAGCATCTGAATACTCGACATGACAAAGGTATACGATCGAATGGGGTTGAGTTTCGTATATAAGGCAACAAATAATTTGAGATTTGCAACAACATGGATAAACCTTGTAATGGGCTAATGGCCTATGTGTTAATCATTTCTTATTCGATACTTGTCAATGGACATAAGACGAGAAGCTTTGATCCTTCTTTTGTGCAGAGGGCTTCTCGTCTATGATCCAAAATGCAGAGGAAAGAGGAGACATCCACGAAATAGCCATAAGAAAGAGAGCACAAAGAGTGTCACAACTCTTCTTTGCTAATAACAACATCCAATTTGCTTGAGCAAAATCATCAAGAAAGCAAACAACTGGACAACATCCTAAGAGACTGTGAAATAGAGTCCGACCAATTTCAGCAAATCTGAGCTGACTTTTAGCACAAATAACCCTTGAAGGTGGAAATGAGCCAAACTGCCCATTACATAGTTCAGAGTTTCCTCAAAAGAATCTTCATATTTGAACTTTTATTCAGTATCTTACTAGTACATTTTAAAAGAAGTAAGTGGAGTTAGTTTTTAATTAGTCCATTAAGCAAAAATTGCAGACAAGGAAGAAAGCTGTGGAAGAACTTCCAAGGAAACGGAAAACAGCTTCCGTTATATGTTTGACAGCTCTTTCTGGTGCGTTGCTGCTGTGGAGATTAGAACCAAAAAAACGCGTCGTTCCATTCTAGCTAGCTGCCATCACATATTCTTATTTGTTTTCCATGGAACTATACATTTACGAAGTCATCATTTTTCGACCGAAGTGTGAATCAATCATATAATCATACATATTGCCTATAGAATTTCGCTGAACATAATCGAAATGAATGGGGATGGTGTTCATCAAGACGTTCAACGTCCTTCAGTCATTATTTACTATTTCTCATACCGAAACTAGATAGCTACAAATACATTCTAGAAAATATATACACACAACAAAATAACATCAAATCACAAACTGAAAGATTCATAACCACTTTTAAACTACACATATATAGGTCGTATAATAATCTAAGTAGTTGTCAATGTCGTATTTGGGTGATTTGAGCTCCGAAGATTCTATCTTTTTTTTTTCTTCGTTGAATCAGTTTCCTTTACTATTAAGTAAGCCGAATCACAAATTGCAATTCGCAAAACCAATACAACGAAAGGGCTGCCATTGTGGCCACCCTGAAGAGAACAGAAAATAAAGAAGAGTTCCAAAAACTATCTACTCCCCTCCCACATGTATAACCTGCAACTACAAGAAACTATAGGACATGCAGTAATTGAAGATCCCTTATCATTAAGCCCTGCAAAACTCCAACATCCCGCTCAGGTTCTTGATGCAGACGCCTACAACGCTCCTGCCAGATGTAAGTAATCAGCATGCACCATTTCAGGCCAAAGAATTGCTCTTGACCTCGCAGTACAAACTGGCAAGCTGAATTCAATGATTCTGCCCAACTCGATCTACAGACCAGATCAGTTCTGATAATTCCATGCGCAACTTGTTGAACAAAGCTACAAGAGAAGAAAAGGTGGTCTCTTGTTTCACTATCATTATGACATAGAACACATCAATCTTCATTGAGTTTCCCCCATCTCAGAAGCTTGTTCTTTGTCACAATAGCATCCAAGATGACAATCCAGGCAATAAAACTGAATCTGGGCACACTAAATTGACCCCACACCAACTTAAACCTGTCGACCTTGCAATGTTGGGGACGGAGGGAGTTCCAAATTAGCTTGACAGAGAACTTAGGCATTGCCTGTCCATTCCACATAGCACAGTCACCTTGCCTGGAAAGAAGAGG